GTTGAGCACCGCTCAGATAAACTGTATCCTTTGGACTAGCTTTAACACTCATTTTTGTTTATCAACAACTCCAGAGCCCAGCAAGTAGCTTGCAGCATGGCAACATTGCACTGAACCTGGGTTCTAGAGCAGCTTTTGACAAGCTTGGGTCTGCATAGGGGGAGGAAGGGCAGGGGTGTGTTGGAAAAAGTTTTGGGACATTGGCTGCAGGTGGGCTGGTCACGTAGTTGCTTCATCTGCAGTGCCTGCAGCACCTCCAGCATGTTCACTTGGAGCTCCATAACGCTTAGGAGCCACAATGTGCTCTTCTTTAGCTCCCTCCGGCCATTATCCCTCCATTTTATGTTTGGTGTCTGCATGGCAACTCAGGATGTCTCGCAAAAACTCCCCTCTAGTCTTTCGTGGGTGCTTCCATGCCCATCTCAAATACTCTGCAGGAGTTATAACTTCCTGAGACTGGTATTCCAAGGCCAGCCCTATCAAGGACAAAATTACTATGTCACAGAAGGCCCATTGTTCATGCTAGACACAGCGCTTTCCCAACCCTTTCAAAACACTTGCACTGTCCACATACCTAGCACTGCCAGTCCTGAAGTGAGCATACGTAACACACAGGAACCCCACAATGGTGAGTTCACCACTAAGGGCACCGAGGGAAACCCTAACTGCAGTGGGGAAGGGAAAAGGGCCAGAAAAACCTTTGCTGCAGTGGCATGGGTATCCCTTGAGGCCCTGGGCAGGGGAACCCCATGCTACAGAATCCCTTGGTGAAGGACTGTCAGTCTTCAGGGGTTAAATGCCACTTTTGCTCTGCCAGCTAATCTGAAGAGAAGGTTGGCACAGCAGTCTCATGAAGCTTTTGATGAGATTCGTGAGGCAGATTACCAAAACGTAAGACCATAGCAGCATCACACCGAACCAAGCCTTCTTTCTGTAACCCTCTCACTACTCCTGCTTGACTGCTTTTCTAACCATTTACCAGTTGCATCAGCCACAGCCTGGGGGTACTGTAAGTGGCTGGGGGTCTTCTCTTCAGGGTTCAAAACAGCTCCCAACTGTGAGCCTCTATGGATAGTGAGTCCTCCTCTGACTCTGGGTCCCTCTCCTCCTGAGCACACCCAGCCAAAACTTCCTCCTCCTGGCTCAGTTCACTGTCAGATGCTCCCTGAGGTGTCCATGGGGGTCTTCGGAGTGGAAGTGGGGTCGCCTCCAACTATATCATCTAGCTCTTTGTAGTAACTGCAGGTTGTGGGCGCAGCACCAGAGTGGTGATTTGTTTTCCGTGCCTTGTGGTAGGCGTTTTGCAGCTCCTTCATTTTGACCTACACTGTAGTGTGCCCCAGTCATAGTCCCCGTCGGTCATGCACCTAAAGAAGTGCCCACAGATATTGTACTTCTGATGGCTGAAATGCAGCTGGGACTGGACTGCCTCCTCTCCCAAATGCTAATGAGGCCTAGCACCTCAGCATGGCTCCAAGCCAGGTATTTCCTGGTACATAGAGCAGGCATGGCCACATGTCCCTGAGTGAACAGAAAGGGGACTTTCAAATTTCAAAAAGAATGCAAAGACGGGTTTTTGGTCACTTGGTTGATTGGTCGGTCGGTCACCTGAGAAGGGCAGCAGAGTTCAAACAGATGACCAGAAAGGCCAGAACAGACATTGTGAGATGGGTACCGGAGGCCAATCAAGATGCACTACTACACCATGGTGTCCATACTGGCACCCCACCCAGTGCACTATCCAGAGCACAGCAAATTCTATGCTTCTCACAGAGGTGCTATACCTAGAGTGCAGTAACTGTGGAACTAGTCAACACTAAGCCAACACCAGTGTGGACACCACGAAAGTTTCAGCGCTGAAAGCTGATTTATTGCACAGTAACTTGCCAGAGTAGGCTTGGCCCTATAATGGAGCACCCATAGGGACAAAACTCAAAGAAGAATAAGAGCAGCTTCATCTTGGTGCCAATTAGAGTCTATTTTGTCCACCAGCACAATTTAGAGTATCTTTAGGGGTGCAAGCCCTCCCAAAAGGACTATGATCTGGCATATAGGGATCATAGTTGCACTCAGGAAGGAAACAGGGGTCCTCAGAGAAGGCTATGTCGGCTCTGTCACCTGAGACCTACTTTTACGCTAGGAGAATTTCCCTGTAGTTGAGAAGAAAAAAATTTCTGGAAGCTTTATGTTCTCAGAACATCAAAAGCTATCAAAGGCTATGTCAAAGACAAAGCATATTTATCATACATATATATACAAACAAAAGAAATAAGAGAAAACTGGAGACTTGATTTTTGTCTGATACCAAAGTATGTGTGCACACACATTGTAAATACAGAGATAAATTCTGGGTAACACAATATGTTCAGCTTCTTACTGGTCATGTAATGGGACTTGGAAGCTGAAGGGTTATGGTTGTGGTAGTGTACTTTTATCAGTGCATACATGCTGTAAACCTCTGGCAATGATGGGTATTTCATCCTGCTATTTTTAAAAAAAGAGAGAAGATAAGTGCCACCTAATTTACATGGGCATAGTCCATCTATTCTGCACTCGTACATACACCAATATTGAAGTGTTTCTTTCTGCTCTGAAAACATTAAACACCTCTTTCCATTAAAGACAGAGGAAGTAGTGCAACACTTTGAATTGTAGTCACAGGAGATACAATTGAAAAGTTTTATAACTAAATTCAAATGATAAAAGTTGCATTAACACCACGAAATAAATAAATCTTGTTTTTACCAGTTGATCCATGTAGGATACAAAGCACCAAAAGGCATCAACTTCATTTTCCATCACATACAAGACAGGAGAAAGCAAGTCACTCATTCCTTGAACATACCCTTAAAAAAAAGAAATAATTAAACTTTATCTTGGACTGTTAACTTACTTACTCAATTATGAATTCTAAGGTAACTGATTTGCCTTCCTTATCTGCCAAGATGCCAAGCTTCAAATGTGTTACTGAACAACAATTGTTTACATAATTATTCAGTGGTACAGCATACTGGTAGATATATTCCAAATAAACTTAACCAAATGGTTTGAAAACTCCATTTTCCTCTGTGTCATAAAAAATACCTACATTTGATTAAAAGTTTGTGTTCTGCAAATCTCAAACCAAGGCCAGTGAACTCCTAGACTGTGGGACAGTGGGCTGAACAGGGGTCAGGGGCCCAGGAGTGGGACTGACCCTGTCACACTATATATCCTTGTGTCTCAATTTTTTTGAAAATGTACACCCTTATTTCTGTTTAACTTTACTAACCTTCATGAAGTAAAGTAATTCTACACTAAAAGACTTTTAAAATGCAGTAATACTCTGAGAAGTGATCCTTGTTAACTAACCATTTTTTTTTATAAAAAAAAAATTCAGAAGAGTCCTACTTACCTAAATCAAAGTCATACATACAATAGGTCATCAAAATGTCATGAAGTAAGATCAGTCCTGGATTATCTTGACCTTCATAGAACTTGTTTGTTCTGTCTGTTCTGTTTACATCTTTTTCTGAGAAAGAGCCCTCAGATATAAAACATTTCCCAAATAATTTTTACTAAGCCTATATCTACAAATGAAAAATGCTCTTCAAAGTTACTAATTCATAAAACACTATTGCAGAGCTTTGAAGTGTTTAATAAATCATCTATACTCCATCAATGTCATTATAAAATGCTTTAAAAGGGTTTTTAAGAGTAAGTACTTAAAAGAAAATTATTCCCATCTGGAATAAGATGATTTATTTACAAGCAGATTTTCAATTTTTTTAAAATTGTTACACACTTGTTACAGAAACCTCATGATTAAATATAAAAACATTTTACTGAAATCAAAGTAACAATGAGGACTACTTTAGATGAGTTAACTGTAAAATGCTACTCATGAATGCATATGATATACAGCATAATCTTAAAACTAAAATGGGAAAAGGCTAATGTACAAACAAGCTTAATCAAAGGGATTTTGTTACACTTGTTATTCCATGGTTTCTTATAGCGAGTATTATGAAATTTTAGTTTGTCTTATTTCTGCAATCATTACTGGGATGAAATTGCCTGCTTGTTCTTAGATACAGATGGAACATTGTGTGTCATTTCAATAAACACAGTTCACACTACTGAATTTGATGACAACTGTACTCAATGTTGCTTTCATAATTTCAGAGCCACTGAACATTGGATGGTACTCCTTTGGAGCAAGTCAGTGCCCTTCTTCACTGGCAACATCTTTAATTAAAGACATGCCCTTCCATTCCAAGAAGTTTTTAAAGAAAGTTACGTGAAAGCTGAGATTTTGGAGCTTGACTCTGCAGCAAATTCTCTGGCCTTGAAATACGCTGAGGCAGTTCTTTTTTTGTATTTAAAAAAAAAAGTGCCAGTACTCCAGGGGAAAAACTGTTGAGCTCTGACTGAAGGTGCCGGTACTGCGTACTGGGCATTACAGTCACAAAAAACGCACTGTGCTGAGGAATGGTGCTAGTATTCTAAATCTCACCATTAACCTAATCCATATTCCAATACTGCACTCTAAATCTGTAAAAGGAAAATTACCTATAAGACTCTTATAGTCTCTTAATCTTGAATTTCGTTTTTCTTGTTCATCACTAACTGATTTCCACTGAAGTTTCATCCTGAAATACTCGTCCCTGAATAATTAAAAAAAAAGTCATTTTGAAACTAAACGTAACTTGCTAAGTCATTTTACTTATTACTTGAATATCACAATATCATAAAAATAAAAAAGCAGAGCAAATGGAAGGAGGAAGTCATGATAACAGACGCATTTATATTTATGCAGTAGGCTTTTTAAGAAGGCTCAAATATTGCATTCAATAATATTAAACAATTAGCTTTCTGCAGACTAAGAGGACTTCCATATCACTACAATAAACATATACTTGAAAAAATTCTGAAACTATTTGTAATACAAAAGTATGTCTCTACTCACGTTTTTCTTTTTTGCAAATTAATTCTTTCCTCTCTACTACTATGCCAAGGAAAATAACCCAAAAGGAATTTCCATACTTCTTTTCTCAAAGCATGGCAGAGTCCCTAAGGGAAAGTATGCATATAAAATACATAAGAATCAAAGAATATAAGAGTCTAGCTCTACTGATGAAACAGTGCCACAGCAAGTAATCACTTCTTAAAGCAATAACTGAAAACAAAATTTAAGATGACTTTTCAGGTTATTGAAGGCAAAGAGTATCCTTCCACAGAGCTTTACAGTACCTGCAATCTCACTTCATTATGGGGTTTCAAAGGTTATGGCTACATTACAAGCTAGAAATGTGATTCCTCAGCTTCTGTACACATACTCACATTCTCAATCACACTAACAAAAGTAGAAATGGCATGTAGCTACTGTAGCACAAGCAGCAGCAACACAGTTGTGTTGAATACATACCCTCCAATTTCAGATGGGTTTGTACTCCAAGCACAGTTCAGGTGGGACTCCACTGTCATTACCCATGCTACTGTGGCCTCACTACTATTCACACTTGCACTAGCTTGATGACTAGGGACCTACCAAATTCACAGTGTGAAAAAGGTGGCATGCACCTACAATCTATAGATTTCATGGGAAAAAAAATCAGATATTTCTCCTGTGAAATCTATATATTACAGGTGAACAGTATTGACAGGGCTGGGGATGTCCCATTTGGGGATCCTACTATGCACTGGTCTCCAGCTATTAGTACCAGCAGGTGTCAGGAGGGATGGTACGTCCTTTTCCCCTGCTTGGCTGCTCTTGGAGGGAAGATCAGACCCACCACTGGGGACCTCTGCTCTCTACGGAAAATTCCAAGACTGGGAAGACAGCATCTACAGAGCTTCCTGTAGCTAAGAGATTCTTGGATATGAGTCTGATCTCCTCTGTACTGGGTGGCAGGAGAGGGACTGCTTGAAGTTTCCCTGTTCTGTTCACTCCCTCTGGGGCATCTGGCGCTGGCCACTGTCAGAAGACAGGATACTAGGATAGATGGACCTTTGGTCTGACCCAGTATGGCCGTTCTTATGTACTGGGAGTTCTTAGCTGCTGGGGAGGGAATGGGACGACCTCCTTCCTTGCATAGCTCTGGCTGTTCTTGGAAGGGGAGTCAGCTCCACCTCTGGAACTTCCCTTGGAAGGCAGTACAGAAATGAGGGTAGCAATTCAACCTCCCCCCCCCCATCATTACAAAACAGTGAAATTTCAGATGTATGTATCTGAAACCTTGTAATTGACCATTTTAACACTATGACTGAAATGGATCAAAACGGAACCTAATTTGGTAGGGCCCTAGTGATAAGGAAACATCAATGGGGCAAGGAAAGGGAATCACGCCCCAATCCTGTAGTCCAGACAGCCACAGACCTGGACAGAGAATCCAATTAGCCTTTACCGAGAAAGGCATTTAAAGAACAAATGCAATTTGTTTGACAAATGACTGGAACAAAATCAACAGATTACACAGATGCTGGTGAAAACTACGGAAGCATCAAGCACAACTTGGAAACCGTGAAGGAGGAATCAATAGGTAAGTTACATTTCACCCTATACTACTTTTCCTCACCAAAAATATCATTCTTGAACCTTTGTATAAGCATTAAAAGACAAGATAAATTCTAATAAATATTAACACTTCTGTAACAAGTCCTAATTTTATTTTGTATCTCTAAAATCTGCTCTCTCCTAGACCCAATTACCCAATATTCCAAGGCCTGGTACACTGTTTTTAATATTAAAATACCCTTTGTGTCATAACTATAAATAAAAACAAAACATGGAAATGATCCCACCATACAATTCAAAATATTGGTGCATACTCAACAATCTTTCATAGTTAAGTCTTCCTACCACATTTCTCTCCTATATCAAGGATTACTCCTGCCTGACCATTATCTGCCCTTCAATAGGATGAGTCCTTGAAGCGCCTATGGCAGTGCTTCCCAATTTTATTTGGCCAAGGAACTGTTTTAAACTCAAAAGAATTTTGCGGAACCCCTAATAACAGTCTTATATATGGAACTGAAAAAGTAGAGCACAAATAAGTAAGGATAATAATAAACAAATGCTAAACAAGGTCGTGAGAGCAACATTTAGTTTAACTGCACATTTAAAAACAGAAATCACAAGGTGTACAAAAAAGAAAACTAAAAAACTAATATGCATTAAATATTAATTATTTTTTAAAATCAAAATGTTATTGTAATGGAATTTTCTCGTGGAACCCTTATTTTCACTTCGTGGAACCCTGGGGTTCTGTGGAACACCATTTGGGAAACACTGCCCTTTGGGCAAGCATCCACACTGTACCTGTGAGGACAAAACAAACATACTTCTTGAACTGGCAATGCTATTGTTCAATAATCCAATATTAGCCACGACAGTAGCAATATTATTTTACTCCTCACTATTCCTCTCTTCACCATGTTAAAATAGCTGCAGCAGTGCCACAAATATCTGCTGTATCACTTACCACCAAATCAAGTGTAATCAGACCCAATAGATGAAAAGCAAATTGAGACGTGTTCAGAAGGAATCTCAAGAATTCACTTCATACACTGTCAGGTGCTTTGGCATTAAAACATGCTAGCCTTCTTAGTACAGGGCTTGTAAACACGCATATGGGCTGCACTGCAATGACAGCAATCAATAAGCTTGCTACAAAGACACCAAAATGAGAGGGTACAGGGTAGCTAAAACACACAGCATAGGTGGAAGAGATCCTCACTCTTGCTCTACCCTTTAAGACAGGTTTTCAATCTTGATGCATATAAGAAATAATTAAAACTGTATATGTGCAAGAAAATGATGGCCCAAAATACAAAAACGTGGGGATAATGCTGTTACTCAATTTTAAGATGTTGTGCATTTCGGAATTCCTGGCTCAGACAGACGACCTCTCCAGCACACTGTAAAGATTAGAAAGCGAGCAAGAGAGCCTACTGGGCACCTGGAGCAACCCGAAAACAAAAAGCAAGCATCACACACAATAACTGATTAGGAACTGTGCTCCTGCTATAACTCCTGCATAACTTCATTTTTAGTTTGTAGTTATTATTAGATTTGCACCACTGAAGCTGAGTTCACATAATGCAGGATTCCACAAAACATGGATAAATGTAATAGTAATTTTCAGGGTCAGCTTCAACACAGCCCACAACAATCTTGCTAACAGAACAAACCACAGTTAGAAAAAAAACAAGGTCAGGATAGGAAGGGAAGACCACAACAAATTCAGAAAAAAAGGGGACTGGCATCCTAAAGAAAATAGCACTTTCATTCAAGTGTAAAACATTAGTGGTTTCTTGGGAGGTACCTTCTTAGGCCTGATCTGCGCTATAGAGGAGGGGTGAGCAATCATTTTTGACTGGGGGCCACTTCAGAAGGGGCAAGACCTCAGGCAGAAGGGGCAGGACACTTCCCTGCTTCCCCTCCCACAGACCCTGATTGGTTTGAAATCTTTGCCTCCCCCAGAGAGGACCTCCAGCTGTTCATACTTTGTGTGCTCCCCACAGCCTCCAGGTCAATCAGGGCCTGGGGAAGACAGAGCACTCAAAGTCTCTCTCCTTGCCCCTGCCTAGTAGCTGGCAACTAAGTGCCTTGCCCCTTGCAGAGTGGGAGGAGACTGTGTGTGCTCTGCTCACCCCCAGGCCAATCAGGAGTTGGGGGAGCATGCAAAAGCACTGTGCATTCCTTGCAAGAGGGAAGGGCAGGATGAGACTTCTTGCGCTTCTCCCTGCCCCCAGGGCCTGAATGCCTTGAGGGTCGGGGTGAGTGCACAAAGTCTCTTGCTTCTTGCCCTCCAGTGCACGATGCTTCGAGTCAACCACCAGGGTTGATTCTAAGCTCTGTGCACTCCTCCATCCCTAGGCCCTGATTGGCCTGGGGACAGGGGAGCAGCAGGATCATCCCGCTTGGTGGGCCGGATCTGGCCTGTGAAAGCAGTTTTGCCCACACCTACTACAGAGTTAGCTTGATGTAAGTAGCTTTACATCAACCTATTTGCATATGTGTTTGCACTCAGATTTATCTCCTGTTGATGTAAATGCCCATTACAGTGATGCAGCAATTATACCTCCTCAAATGGCATTAAGCCCCGATCGACATATTGTGTTTCTAGTGCAGACACTATATAATCCATGTTGATGTTAATAGTCTTCCAGCAGCTGCTCCATGATGCCCAATAATGACTGCTCTAGTGAACTCCATTGCTGCATATTTCACGGAAGCCACTCCTACACATCCTTAAAACTCAATGCATTTTTAAATGTTTTTTTCCTGATTTCACTCCTTGGACAACACACTTAGTAGCTCTCCCAAATATGTGACTGACCAACTGGCCTACTACAAGCTCCACGTTTGCTCCTGCCAGCGTGGACAGGGATTATAGGATGCCCTGGGTCTGTAGGAGAAGAGAGTGGTACAGATAAGTCATAGAAACATACAAAATGATTGCACAGGGTATGCAGGTGAAGGGGTGTGACAGATCAGCAACTGTGCCCAATGAAAGTGAAGGAATGGTGGCAGGCACACCAAAAAGCCAGGAAGACCAAAAGTTGATCTGATGCGGAGCAATAGGTCTGCCACTTTTACAATGATCATATTTGGTGGAAACCCAATCAAGCACTTCACACACCACTGTGGATACCTCCCAGAAGCTTGACACACACACTCTGCCATGAACAGCAAGGAAGAGGCAGAAGAGAGAGATGCAGCAGGAGGGTCCAGCTATGCTGTAAGCCAGAATCTTTAGGAGACTCCACCAGGCTACCCGGTTGGCATGGGTGAGCTCAGTGAAGGAATGGAATCTTAGGTGCATGCATGCATTCTTCTTCAGTGTGTTTAAATGTGAGGATGGCATCCCGCCCACTTCCAAGTTAGCACTACACAGTTATCTATTTGTCACTGTTTTCCTCATATAAGAAGAGATGCAAACAAACAGAAGTAGAGCTCATTTTTTTTTTATTCTACTGTAGGACTAAGTGGCAAAATGGGAATCATGTGGAAAAATTTGTTTATGTACGTGAGGGCATTCCTAGCTTCGTCTTGAGAGATCTTGATGAAACTTTAATGGAGGTACTCTCATATCCTTCCTTCTGAAGGAAGAAACCTTATTTCTTCCACTACTGTAGGACAATCCCATGCCATTCTAGTATGACATCTGCAGGCATAATTACAACAAACAGATCAGCAGCATACATACTCAAGCAGCTTTGGAACACCAGCAGCAGCTGTGTTCACTATGCCTTTGTTACCTGCAAGAATGAGGTATCAGCTAAAATAATAAAATAGTGCCAGCACTCATTGTCACTATGCAGTGCTTATAACACATGGAAATGGGGAATTAAATTTTATTGTTTATGCAAACAACTGCCTCATTTTCTACCCTACAATCCATCCCTGGAAGGTCATACTCCTCACATGCAGATGCACTCCAAAGCAAGAGTGTCAATAAATATATCTTATTTAAAACTCTCATACGAGTAAGGGAAAAAAGCTCTGCAACTTATCTTTTACTTTCCACTGTGACTGTAAATACAACATCACATCTGTCTGTTTTTGCTGCAGCTGCTGTCATTGTAGCCTTGAGAGATGCCCCTTCAACCCCCATAGAAACATCTGATCTTGAGGAAGAAGAGGGAAAAAAAACAGACTAGGGAGAACATACTCAATAAGATCCTGCAAGTCAGTCAGACATCAGACTATGAACAGAGGGCCTGGAGGATAAATATAGCAGACAACCTGGAGAAGGAAAAAACAGACAGGAGAAAGGCACAAAAGTATCAGGAGAAAAAGGAGGGAGAGATGCTCTCAGACATAATGGAGCTTTTCAGGCAACAAACACAAATGCTGCAAACTCTTGCTGACCTCCAGACTCTTGCTGGCCCACAGATACAGACTGACACCCCTTTTTCCCTATGCAGTCAATGGATAACTACATTTTGGCAATCCCCATGCTTACCACCACCACCATCCCACACACACCATTCTAGGTGGCATCAGGGGTTGCATTCTTACTCCTATCACTCCACAACATAGAACAGTAAACCACAGCTTCACATACCCTGGCATGTCAGAGCTGTGATGGGGGCAGGTTTATCAGAAATGGATAGGCAGGAATGTTTTCTACATTCTAATTTTGAGGTTCTGTTTCATTAATTTAGTTTGCACCATACTTATTAATCATACTATTTTTTGCATTATTTTTGCTTTGTAATACACTTTTAATTTTTTTTAAATACATTCATCCACTGGAGTTCAGGAACCCAATAGCTAGCAATCCATCCACAATGTCTGGTATATTACCTGCAGTCACAGTCCTGCATAGCAAGATACAATTAACTGCTCTATACATGCATAAAAATGGCCCGCATTATGGATTTTCCAACTCCAAAATGACCTCCCACTGATGGGTAGCAATCTAGCACTACAAGCTTCCAGAATGCAATCACCATTTGCTTGTCAACTGTCAGTGCAGCTCTCATTTTGGTGTCTATGTGCTGAAAGGCTCAGATGAACTCTGAATACAGATCCAGAACGTAGCCTGTCATATCCAAAAGTCCTGCAGCCACTGTTCATTGTACTAAACCTGCATTACAATGTGATCCCACCAATTGCTGCCCATTTCTCAGACCTAAAAGCTCCATCATCTGCAGCTACTCCATTCATACCAACAACCTTGAATTGTTTTTCACTATGCCCCACAGCCATTGTTGCAGAACTTCCTGCAGCTATGAAGATACCAGAATATTGTTCATTCTGTGTTTGCAACGTTCATGACCATAGCACAGAGGGCTATGAGCTCCATACTTTGTTCAGAGATGGTAGACAGTGAAAAATGCCATGAAGATTTGTATGATTTTCAAAAAGGTATAAAAGTTACTGGATGGTGATGGTGTTATGGGATGGGAAAAGATACACAATGGAAATTTGACTCCTGTCTCAGTCCCCCCTATACAACTTGTATATGCTTCATAATGCACTGCAAAAAATCTGCAAAAGGCAGTGGTTTATGGCATGCTGTAATATTATGGTTTATGGCCGTGGTTTATGGCATGCTATTCATGATGTGCCACACATCAACATAAGCGCTCCTGGTGAATATGCAAAAACTGACACGAGCAGCTAAACACAAATTCACAAGTGATGTAATAACTACAAACGTTTTACACCAATGAAACTTGTGTCGACAAAAGTCTATTATGCAGACACGCTGGGTTAGAACACTTTCCCTCCCTAAGTAGTCATGTCTCTTCTGTATTGACCAAAACCCAGTCACCTATCTCCACCTTTTTTTATTTCCAAAGTCTCTTATCAGACAACAAAAGTCCTCTGTCTTGGAACAGCATTTTTTTTGTGTTGTTGCAGACTTGCCTTAATGTTGTTTGAACACTTCAACAGCCTTTGTATAACCTGTCCAACAACACTGACCAGTTTAAAACCTTCTAGAAATTGCAAGCATGATAAGATCAGTTCAATGGCAGTTTGCAAATAAGCAGAAAGTAGCGCCTTCCTCTGTAGCATGGGGTACAGATCACAGCTAGAGGATCTCTGCATCTTGGGGTCTTCAAAGTATTTGAAGGCTTTAATATCTGAGATATAGATGAGAGGATTATTCTAGGAGGGGTGGGTGAGATTTTGTGGCCTGCACTGTGCAGGGGGTCAGACTAGATGATCATAATGGTCCCTTCTGACCTTGGAGTCTATGAGTCTAGTGAAATCTGATCTGAAGTGATTGGTTGATTCAACTCCTAGCAAAAGCTTCATCAATGAGCATTACTTACCCCTTTGAATATCATTTGCTTTATGTAGTCAACATCTAAGATTCTTCCTTCTGAATCCATGTTCTTAGTCCATTCCTCAGTAGACACTGGCTCTCTTCTGATAATTTCAGGCCGTTTACCTAGATCAATCTAAAATATTAAAAAACCCTATGTTACATGAATGCTATTGCACTGATCCATTAATTTAAAAATAAAAACACCATCACCACACACAATAGTATTAAATCCAGCTCGCTCCTCCATATGCACTTAAGACTATGGCCACAACAGATGCACTAAGAACATAAGAATGGCCATACTGGGTCAGACCAAAGGTCCATCTAGCCCAGTAGCCTGTCTTCCAACAGTGGCCAGCATCAGGTGCCCCAGAGAGGGTGGACAGAAGACAATGATCAAATGATTTGTCTCCTGCCATCCCTCTCCAGCCTCTGACAAACAGAGGCCAGGGACACCAATTCTATCCCCTGGCTAATAGCCTTTTATGGACCTAACCTCCATGAAATTATCTAGCTTCTCTTTAAACTCTGTTATAGTCCTAGCCTTCACAGCCTCCTCTGGCAAGGAGTTCCACAGGTTGACTACACACTGTGTGAAAAAGAACCTTCTTTTATTAGCTTCCAACCTGCTACCCATTAACTTCATTTGGTGTCCTCTACTTCTTCTATTATGGGAACTAATAAACAACTTTTCTTTATTTGCCCTTTCCACACAACTCATGATTTTATATAACTATCATATCCCCCCCTCAGTCTCCTCTTTTCTAAACTGAAAAGTCCCAGTCATTTTAACTTCTCTTCATATGGGACCCGTTCCAATCCCCTAATCATTTTAGTTGCCCTTTTCTGAACCCTTTCCAAGGCCAAAATATCTTTGTTGATATAGGAAGTTAAAAAAGGAACGGGGGAAGGACATATTTGAGGAGCATGCCACAGTTCCACAGGGGTTTCTTGTACATCATAACATAGTAGGGATTTCAGAGTGAGATGAGAAAATTAATTGCTGTATATACGCACTGGCCATTCTTCTCTCACGCCGAAGACAGGGCAGTTTTGAAAGTGCAACAAAGCACCATGACCAAAAAATTATTTTCTCCTCAATCCCCAACCCAAATATGTGCGCACTGAGTATGGCTCAAGCTTCAGATTTAGTTCCTATTTTAGCCATGCAGTACAAAATGTTTGCTCATAGCAGCAACAAAGCCTACTTAAGCTCAAGTTGGTTTTAGCTACTTAGAAGGCAGTTTAACATATCAAGGCATGATCAGCATGATCTCAAATATACCATATATATTTCTCTGTAATGTCCATGGTTAACTGAACAATTGCTGGATAGTAAATATTAGGAATCTAGAGATTATGTAGTTGAACTGAGAATTTTTGTTTTTGTTTTCAGCTGTTGAGAAAACCTGAATTATTAGAGTTTTAAAAAGTTTTATAAACATTACTCCTCATCCATTTAATGTCACCTCAAAGCATCTGGCCATGAATCACTTCATAAAATAATTGTATTTTATTTATATAACTGTACAAATATCCAGAGTTCACAGTAAGTCATTCATGGTCAAACTAAGTGCATGGAATTACTTGCTATCTCCAACTATTTACAATACAGCTACAACTGTAACTGAGCATTCAACTTAATATTTTTAATACAGTCAGACTTGTTTTAAATAGAAATGGAGATTCTAAATTGTTACCTATGCAAAAAATAAAGTTAATTGCACACATATCTTCAGTCTCTCAATATATAAGTGCATAAGATAGATCTAAAATCAGTGCAGGAAATAAGCCAAGCATGAAATGAACCAGTTCAGTTTTTGTGGGGACAGCCTTATAAGATGAACAACCTGAGCTTCCACTACTTTCAGTTAGGGATGTTAACTATTGGGTATGTGTGTAAACATGTAATCACTACTTATGGGGAGCACCACTTAAAAGCCGTCTCCCCATGCATGCTGGCTCTGGCCTGTCTCCTCCACCCCTACTGCCTCTGTGGAAGGCAGCAGGGGGGAGGCGGCTTCGCAGGAGCCAGTTTCCAATGCATTTAGGAGCCTGCCCTGCCCCTTGCTGCCTCTGATATAGAGTGCATGTAGTGAATAGGTTTAACTGATAAGCCCAGGTTTACCGGTTAATTGTGTAATCAACTACATGTTGACATCCCTAGTTACATGTTGACATCCCTAGTTTCAATAAGAGCTAAACTGGACTCTAAAGTTAGCAATGACACTTCAACATTTTTCCTTTCATGAATTCAGAGAAAAGTTTTAACTCCTGGAAATTTTGTAAGAAGATAAATGATGTACACTCTCAAACTATTAGTGCTGATCTTATGCTATGTCATGGTTTACAGTAGTGTCCCATTGAGTTGCAGGACACAAGTGACTGTACCAAAACAGATGGGAAAACAACTAGAATATTTGCAGTTTTCCTCCTCTAGGCTGCAGGACTGGCACAGTAGCGAATGTGTCTTCTCTCACTGGCCACTGCCATTTTTCAGCATTGTGCCTCTCACTCTGCAGCACACACACAGAGCGACAATGATCAGTGATTGATAGAAGCAGATCATATGGCTGTTGCCACGCCAAACCCACAGGCAAGACAAGAGCCGACCTCATGGACAGGAGGTGGCAAGATTCGAGGGGAAGGGTCAAGATCTGGTTGTGTTGGAAAATGTATCAACCCTCTCAGGCTTAAATTAGCATAGGTGGGCTTAGATACAGCCTAAAAGTTAGGCCGGAACAGACCTGTAGTTTATAAACAAAACATAAACCAAAGCCTCAAGAGCAAACACAACATGCTTCAATCATTTTAAAATCAGTAAGTGCAGTAGTGAAAATATTCAGCATGTGAGAAAACGTACTTTATGTCTATATTATATTACACTTACTCGTGTAATAACTTCAAATCCTGGTTCTTCCTGTTGATTGATCTTTAGCCCTGGAATAGCATCATTAAGAAAGTCTGCCATTTCAGATGGTGGTCGCTGTTGAGTTGAAGGGTCACTTCCTCGCAAACTATCAAAAATATAGTTTGTCACTTTGGAAAATCCTCCCATAGTTGCTGTATACGGATCCTTCTTCAATTTCTATGTAGTAGGAGAGGAAAACAAGTTAACAGTAACAGCCTAACATTTTACACACCTATTCTAACACAAATATAAATTAAAATCAAGAGTAATTTCTCAAATTATTCTGGAAGTTAAAGATATTGTAATATCAATTTTGCATAGTAGAATTCTAATGTGCTAAAAAGACTAAAATGAGAAAAATCAACAACAGGTATTAGTCTAGTCTAAACTAATGATTTTATTTCAGAGATTGGCCAGCGATGTGCTAGTTAAATCTGGCCTACTTATAATTAGAACAATAAGTCACATCTAGTGCTTACTTTCCAATGATGAATGGCCCAAAATGTCTTTCTTCTGTCTAGTTGCTCTACCTTCACAGAGAAAATACATCTTGAAGAAGCATCCTGCTAGAAATCTTATAAACTATCTGTGATCACTAAATCTGAAAACTAATACAATTTAGTTAATATTACTTCCCTTGTAAATCAAATCAATCAATGAGATGAGATTCTGATCCCAAAGAAGTCAATGGCAATATTGCCGCAGCCTTTATTGAGGCCAAGATTTCACCCAGTGATTGGCACTTCTAAAACAGAATAGTTTTTATTTGTACAATATTGTGCAGTGAACAGCACATATTCTAAGTGAAATAACATTACTGGTAGAAATCATTCTTTCCTCTAATAATTACCTAACACATTTGGGCAAGATTTGCCTTGTGTTTCTTTCCTCCCTCCATGAAAAAAATGGATTGTATTTAAATAATCTAAAATATTTATACAGTAAACTTCTGATAATCCAGCACCTTTAGGACCCAGGGGGTGCCAGATTATCAGATATGCCAGAGTACCAGAAGCGGGCTATGAGGGGTCTCGGGTGAGGGTGGGGGATCAGCAAGGAACTGCGCAGTGTGGGAGAGGGCGGCACTGCGGGATCAACCCTGCAGCACCCCAGCTGCTCTGCCCCCGGCTTCCCCAAGTCTGCCGCTGGTCAGTTTCAGCAGCAGCGGACTTGGAGAAGCCGGGGGCAAAGCAGCTCCAATTGTCTGGTTGGCCAGAGCACTTCTGGGTTCCAGTTGGTGCTGTGTATAATGCTTTAGACACAGCTGAAGTAAGCAGAATTTTGTCTGAAATAAAATCTGTACAATATGAAGTAGCAGCACTGGGAGCTTATGGAATGGCTTAATCATATGATAATTAATTTTTATGAACATGTAATAAAAGTAGAATATAAGTTCTGCACTTACTACACAAAGTATAATTAATTGTTTGGGAATTCTTTTGGCAGTGGAATGGCAGAGCCATTTTTAAATAACAGTTTTAAAACCAGAAAGGAATACTGATGGATAGGTTGTTTTTTTATATAGTCCACACCTGTATTAGACCATATGTTGGCTCATCAAGGAGATTTTCAAAAGACTGGGAAAGGCTTTTGTTCTGACAATTGACAAGAAGAATTCTTTTATCCTCTGGAGATCTGTAATAAAATACAGTTTTTCCACAAACGTTTTTAAAATTTTAGGTTTTGTAAGTTAGAGTTGGTGCTTTTTGTAAGAAAAGCTGATGAGCAACATAAAATCCTCTCTCTCCCCCACCCCGAACATAATACACTTACTAAAAGATTTACAGAATCAATTTTTTTCATTTTTATATATAGTTCTCAATCTTTTTAATAGCCAGAATCTGAACAACAAAATACATTGCTCATTAACAAGCTAGCATTTTGTCTAAGACAACAGTACATAGTGCCTTAGGACTTAAGTGCCACAATTCTCCTTTGACATTACTTTATGAGCTGTTGTGAAACAGGCTTAAATAAAATAAAATGTAAAATAAAACATAATTGCAAAGGAACGTAAGAGACCCATTATATTCCTTATACTTTCCAGGGATTGTTCTTACTACTTGTAGATTTCATGCTAAGGTACCCAACAAAAAGTTGTAAATGATATAAGAAATCTAGCATATAAATGTGTAAGTAATCGAGTAATAAACTGTCTCTCTCACAAGAATGCAGTCTTCCTGATTTTATTTTGTGAGTTCTTCAATCAACAATATTTACAATCATGTCGTCTACTTTCAGCCAAATAAGTACTGTATATAAAATTAATGAAGCTTGTAAATAGCATAGCTATTCTATTCTGAAACAGAATTGTCATATTACAGTCTTGCAAAAGGTATTCTAGTTTGGAATCCAAATGCCAGCCTGACCATCAGATGGCTGAACTAGTATTTCAGTGAATCACTTACAAAATTATGACAATCCTTCCCCTCCATTGCTCTTCAGCTGTCGTTCACTATTTAGAAAATCAACTGGTTAAATTTATTACTTCTAGTCTTTGAAACAAAAATTACTTTTTATTTCATTGCTACAAAGAACACATACTTTGCTATTAAAGCCTAAGATAAGAACTTTAATAAATATTATCTCTTTTCAATTCCAACATGACAGGATACAATGTTAATACAGGAGGATATGAAATTCAACAAGAGATCTCATTTCGAGTCTGCCAGACCACAGTCAATGGCAGTTAATAAACCACAACTGGGTTTTGCTAAAAGCAGCAGTAGGCGGCAAAGGTTGAGTCACATATTACGCTTTGCCAAGCTATGAGAATGAAAATTCTTGTAAGAAATTTCCATTTTAATTAAACGTTCACCCTCTAGACAGATACTTCAAAACAAAATGTGGAACTACACACCTTCACAAAAGCATTTATTCACAATATTTCAGATTTGACAACGTGACATCAGAACAGGATCGTATTCAATAAAATGAGAGATACAAAGCCAAACTAAATAGAACAGAATATTTAGAAGTGACAAATCCAATCATTGTATTTGTTCCATCTTAGCCACTTCAGACAGACTGACTTTAGGAGTGACTGAATACTTTTGGAACAGATTATTATTACATGGAAGGCAAAAAGGTTAGCCAAGTTTGAGGAGAGGGGAGAGAAATGACAGCCTATCCTATTATGTTGTTTTAGAAAGCCATGTTGTTATATGGCTCTCAGGGGCACAAAATATATATGAATAATGCAAATAGCAAGAAACGAAACATTAAATAATTGATAATTTAACATTTCTATACAATATCAGAAAATAAAGAGAATGTCGTTTCTCAGAAAATATTTTAACTAAGGTTATATATGTCATAAAATAAAACAAGGAGTGATGATATTAGCAAGAGGACAGGAAGAGAGAATACATTAGGGTTAAGTTGACTGTTTACACAAAGACCATATGTTTTCTTTTATTTTTATTTAATATTGACCATACTAAGCTGTCACAAAAAATTGAAATATTTGTTGGAGAAACTATTTAAAGAAGTAGGTTTAGAAGAGAGGGAAGGTATAGAGTACAGAATGAGAAAACATTATTCCAGGTGAGTAGGGGGAAAAGATTGAGGAATTTTTAACATTAAGATTTTAAAAAGCAAATAAGTCAATGACATTTATAGATAGTATCGTGCTCTCTCTATGCAGATCTAAAAACAACCTCAATTTTTGTTAGCTACCACAACCATGTATTATTCACAAGCAGTCAAGGCACCCTACTTTTCACCATATTAAAATAATCATTATTAGTCAAAAACTCCTTAGAAAGCATTTGTAATGCTGTTATAACCACCTATTATGCACAGTAGTAAACTGAAGAGCAAGTGATAGGCAGGACAAAGAAACACCTATAATGATGCAACAATAAAAATGTTAGGAGGGCCATGCTTAGCAGGAAATGCCAGGTTTCTTAGGAGGGAATGGACAGAACAGGACTACTATCAAGTAATCCATCCCGTCATCCACTCCCAGCTGTTAGATGCTAGGGATACCCAGAGTATGGGGTAGCACCCCTGACCCTGACTATCTTGAGTAAAATCCATTAATGGTCCAAGCCTCCATTAATTTATCTAATTCTTTTTGGAATCCCACTATAGCTTGGCCTTCACAACATAACCTGCAACAAGTTCCGCAGGTAGACCATGCACTATGCAAAGACCTGTATCATAACTCTTCCCCCCACCCGAATCATCTATTTTCCAAGCTGGAAAGCCCCAATCTTTTTACTCTATATGCATATGGAAGCTATTCCATGACCTAAATAATTTCTTTTGCCCTTCTCTGTACGTTTCCCATTACTCATATATCTTTTTCAAGATGAGGCAATCAGAATTGCATGCTGTATTTAAGGCGTGGTATTTATATACCGGAATTTGGTAGAAGTATATTTTAAGTAGCAGTTATATATTTGAGCCTCATTTATACTTAAAAGTTTTGCTAGTATAGCTACGTTGCATAAGGATATGATGTTTTGCTGACATAATTATGTAGGCAAAAGCCTTAATGGATATGCCAGTTTTGACTGGACTTGACCTCTCCAGGTCCCTTTCAGTTCTAGTATTCTATACTAGCAAAAAAATCCTTTTGAAAATACAGTTTATTTCACTTGGGGAACAGGTACAATGTATCCCAGTACGAGAGTTTGCCAGTGTAGCTATACTAGAAAACCATTTCTCTCTCTATATATTTTTTTTTAAATTTCCTGCAGGACAAGAGTGACATTATCACGTCATTTGCATCCTCATGCCATCACATGGACTATTCCAGCTCTGGCTCCCGCTTCTCGCCCAGGTTGGCTGCGCTGCCAGGGAGGAGCTGCTGGGGCTGGGTCTCCTCTGGCATCTGAGCCTAACACACAACCCCAAGCTGCCCCACGTTCCCCCTGTCATTCGAGCCTCCTCCCCCCGAGGCCATCCTTGGTCCCCCTCCAGCAGATAAGCCCAATCCTTCTCTCTTCCCCCCGGGCCACACCAGGTCCCCTCCGCCCAACCTTTCTACCAGGCTTCCCCGCGTCCCCTCCACCATCCGATCCCGATTCCCCCCTCAGCCCTGTTACTCCTTCCACCGAGACCCCACATCCCCATCCCACTCCTGCCCCCTCCCCCATGGCCAGACATTTACACCAACCTACTCCTGCCTCCTCCCCCTGACCAAACAACTACTCCCAGAGAGAGTGGGGTAGGCAAGCATAATGAGCAGGGGGAACAGCTCCCTAGTAACTGTAAAGAAGATCTAATAATCCTACCCTGTTTCTTTTTGTGATACTGCTATTATCACATTCACGGGCCAGAAAAGAAGGATTTTTTTTTTATTCATAGCACACTTAACATCTTAAGTGTAGTACTGATTTCATGTTGTGAGAAAGTACACACTTTTGTCACAAGAGTACCACTTCAAAGGAGAGTTGTCAAGAAAATAAAAGATCATATATCCATCTTTGGGCTACAATAATGCAACAGCAGATTATGCTGAAAAGGGAGTAGTAAAGAGAAATATGAGCCTAATGGAACAGGTGGAGATAATGATAATTAGTCTTATATTACTCTCAATGCATCATGTGTATATTCAGCCAAAAAACTAAATTGACTATTACAATTACTGTATTTACAGATTCAAATTTATCTTGCTACTTGCCATAAATTACTTTTCTAATGTAGCAAGAAAAATAACTATGTTGCCACCTTAACGTTATTTCTAGAAAACATTTGGTTTTTTAAGAGAATAAACTCACAAATATATGTAACATGTTTTTTAATGTCACTTAAAAGTATGTAAATATGAAGTACTCACTCTAATCCCCAAAACATTTTAAACACCAGATATTCTCTATTTTTTTTTTACAAACTTTAGACAGCCTTTCAAATTAGGGGGGGTTGAACATCTAAAGGATATTTCTCAAAGGATACAGAGACTAAATGTTAGCACTATGAAGCTGGTCACAAGGTGAACCGGTCAAAATATTTCTTAAAATTTTAAAATCACTATTTCCCTTTTCAACAAGGTGATATGTATGAAGATTTGTATTGAGAAAAATTGTTGGGTCAGATGGAAGTCTTCACTAAAACCATGTATTCCCTTGCTTCTACCTTGCAGATCAATACAGAAATTTGCAAGCAATTATTATTTACACCAACCTACTCCTGCCTCCTCCCCCTGACCAAACAACTACTCCCAGAGAGAGTGGGGTAGGCAAGCATAATGAGCAGGGGGAACAGCTCCCTAGTAACTGTAAAGAAGATCTAATAATCCTACCCTGTTTCTTTTTGTGATACTGCTATTATCACATTCACGGGCCAGAAAAGAAGGATTTTTTTTTTATTCATAGCACACTTAACATCTTAAGTGTAGTACTGATTTCATGTTGTGAGAAAGTACACACTTTTGTCACAAGAGTACCACTTCAAAGGAGAGTTGTCAAGAAAATAAAAGATCATATATCCATCTTTGGGCTACAATAATGCAACAGCAGATTATGCTGAAAAGGGAGTAGTAAAGAGAAATATGAGCCTAATGGAACAGGTGGAGATAATGATAATTAGTCTTATATTACTCTCAATGCATCATGTGTATATTCAGCCAAAAAACTAAATTGACTATTACAATTACTGTATTTACAGATTCAAATTTATCTTGCTACTTGCCATAAATTACTTTTCTAATGTAGCAAGAAAAATAACTATGTTGCCACCTTAACGTTATTTCTAGAAAACATTTGGTTTTTTAAGAGAATAAACTCACAAATATATGTAACATGTTTTTTAATGTCACTTAAAAGTATGTAAATATGAAGTACTCACTCTAATCCCCAAAACATTTTAAACACCAGATATTCTCTATTTTTTTTTTACAAACTTTAGACAGCCTTTCAAATTAGGGGGGGTTGAACATCTAAAGGATATTTCTCAAAGGATACAGAGACTAAATGTTAGCACTATGAAGCTGGTCACAAGGTGAACCGGTCAAAATATTTCTTAAAATTTTAAAATCACTATTTCCCTTTTCAACAAGGTGATATGTATGAAGATTTGTATTGAGAAAAATTGTTGGGTCAGATGGAAGTCTTCACTAAAACCATGTATTCCCTTGCTTCTACCTTGCAGATCAATACAGAAATTTGCAAGCAATTATTAATGATGGCACAAGTCCCTCTGTAACAAAGTCTCCTGCAGTTCCTCTCAAAGGATGGAAGTACCTGAACACACAGAGTTATCTACATCGGGTGGGTCCAGCACAGGCCCCACTTCCTTACTACTTGCAAGGCTTCTGCCCCCTTTGTGGAACTTAAGTCTCTCCAAGTGGGAAACTAAAATTAAATCACATACTCTAACACATTAGATGATTTGCCTGTGGAACCTCAAAAAGGGTGGAGGGTAGAAAGTTTACAGTCTGCCAAAAATTCCCCACTAGCATAGTGGGTTGTGGGAAATTGCTCGGGCTGGGCCACTGTACAGTACTTTCCTTAGAGTCATAGTGAACATTCCCTGGCTGGTAATTCATCCATAGCTTCAGCAGTTATTCCTACAATCTGCTGCAATACTGTTGTTCCTCCTAATTCCTGACTGCAGTTCCTTCCCTTTTAAAGGCCTTTCCCCGTGACTGAGAAGGCTGGAAGGGGTGGGCTAACCCTAATGCCAAGACCTTGCTGGCACTACCTTGTCCATGTGGAGTCTACACAATCCATCACGTTTCATTTAGGACTTCAAAAAATTCTCCACAGTTATAAATTTTATATGTTAATCTTTTCTCATCCCTGGACAGCACAATTGGGAGAAAGGCCAGAACGAACGATACAGCTTCCACATATCTAAATTAATAGTCCTAACCCACAAAAGTGTCGGTTAGGGTAATGTGCGAGCCAGCTGATGTCTTTGTTCATACCATTTGCATAAGAATTAAACTTGTAAATGAAGTTAAATTCCAATTGTTCTCTGTGTATTTGAACTTGTGGAATTTGTCTGAAACAAAAGGGTGACTTGCAGATCCATTAATGAATGTCCAGGTAGATTCAAGTGTTCTCCAACAGGTTTTTGTGTATTCCCTTTTCAGATATATGATTTGTGTCCATTAATTCTTTCCCATAGAGACTGTCCAGTTTGGCCAATATACATGGCAGTGGGGCACTGTTGGCATAGATCACATTAGTGGATGTGCAGTTAAAAGAGCCTCTGATTTGGTAGCTGATGTGGTTGGGTCCAAAGAGGACATAGCTGGTGTAGATGTGTGGGCAGAGTTGACACTGGGGCGGACTGCAGGGGTAGGTTCCTGAATGATTATGATGGAGGTGTACTGTGTGGTTACTGGAAAGAATTAGTTTGAGGTTAGGGGGTTGTCTGTAAGTGAGGCCTGTCCCCTGAAGGCCTCAGAGTGAGTGGTCATTTTCCAGGACAGGTTGTAGATTGTTGACGATGCATTGGAGGGGTTTAAGTTGGGGACTGTAGATAAGTGGTATTGTGTTATTTTCTCTTTTTGGCTTGTCTGGAAGTAGTTCATGACTGGGTACTGTTTGGTTCTATCAATCTGTTTTTTCATTGCTCCAAGTGAGTATTTCAGTTTTATGAATGCTCTATACAGATCCTGTAGGAGTCTGTCTCTGTCTGTGGGACTGGAGAAAATACAGTTGTATCTCAGGGCTTGGCTATATACAACAGATTGAGAAATGTGTCTGGGATGGAAGCTAGCCACGAAGGTAAGTGTAGCGGTCGGTAGGTTTCCCGTATAGATTGGTGGAAATTTGTCCATTATTTAATTGTACTGTAGTGTCAAGATAGTGGGTCTCTAGTGTGGACTGATCCAGACTGAGGTAGATGGTGGAGCAGAATTTGTTGAAATCCCTGTGAAATTCTTCAAGGGTTTCTTTCCTGTGGGTCCATATGATGAAGATGTCAGTACAATTAGCCTGTTGTAACTATTTAGTCTTTAAGGTGCTACTAGACTATGTTGTTTTTTAAGTTTTTCCTGTTACAGACTAACTCAGCTACCCCTATGAAACTTATCTATTCATTGTCTCTTTTTTTCCCTCTCCCCTCCCCATTCTCCTCCCTCCCTCCTTCCCTTATTTATTCTCGGATCTGGACTTCTAACACTTCTGTCATCTGACAACGTGAGCTGTACCCACGAAAGCTCATGATACCATCTATGTGTTTTATTAGTCTTTAAGGTGCTACTAGTCTATTCATTGTTTAAGTTTTTCACAATACAAATAATAATTAAGACACCGAACAACAACTTCTTGAGTTAAATACAATAGTGGGTATTCTGAAACATAAGCTATGCATCTGATCAGAAAAACTCCACTAAGCCAGAGCCCAAGACAAATGAAGTTCCTGCAGGACAGACTGTCAGTGAGAAACCAGCACTTGTGATATATCACTATTAGGCTATCAGGAGGGTATCAGAGTTCAGGATTTGTATTTGGTCCTTCATTTCTGGGTCAGCAAGAGTTACAGAACAGGACAGGTCTCTCAGACACTTGAAATCTCCATAGTCATTTTCCAGGCCATTTTTTTTAATTCAAAGTTTTAAGAGAATGTGAAGTAGCTAAAAACAAACACATAAATTAGCAATAAATGTAGTTTTGAAGACAATTTTGGAGGAAACACATATAGATTTAGATGTCAGAGTGACACTTTTTTTACAGCAGTTTAACTTCTTGACTAATGTATGCTGACAATGACAATAGAAATCATCATCAATAATAAATTATTTTGCTTATATAGGAAACAAAGTAGGTGAGAAAATCTTTTTAATGTACCAACTTATATTCATGCACGGCACAAGCTTTTGAACTTCAAAGAAATTTTCCAGTCTAGAGAAGAAAGTTGGTATCTTCAAGGATATATGACTGACAATAATTGGTGATCCCAAAGTAATTTACATAGGTTGACTATTATCAACCCCATTTTTAGATGAAGAAACTAGGAGAGAGGATAAACTGACAGTCACAAACTCTTGACAACAGTGAAGTGAACAAAACATAAACCTCTTCATTTCCACTCTGTACTCACTAGAGGGTGCTAATACCATGACACAGCTTTTGCAGAGGTTGTATGATTTTTTATAGATTGATGAAGCTCGTTGAAATGTCAAAACATTTTAAGTGAAAACTATTAAATCAATTGTTAGAAATGAGATAAATATTAAAATAGTGAGAAAAGATTAAAAGGGAGGGAATTTTATTAACTGCTCAATGTTAAATTTTCAGAACCTAGTTTGACACTGGCAAGTGTATTGCTAGAATTCACAATTATTGCATTTATTTATATTGTATACTAGTAGATTTACCAGGCATTGCTTGGATCCTTAACTCAGTTTTTGTTTTTCTTCAATTAAATCATTGCTCTGGGATGGGGATGAGGGGTTCAGTATGCAGACTGTCTCAGGGAGAGAGGATAACCCACCCTCTCTCACCACAGCCGCTTGGTGCTAGGTGAGAAGCACCTGTCCGTGGCCACTGCAGCTGCAGTGGGCAAAGCTGGGGGGAGGGGGACGGACACAAACTCTCGCAAATATATAGTAGATAGCTTTCTCCACCCCTGCTGCCTGCAGCTCCAAAGAGGATACAGTTGTCCCAGTCTCATCTTTGGCCCCTTGCTGCTCCCCTGTAGTCATTATACAGTCTACAGTCCCATTATACAGTCCCTACCAGAGCCCCCTCCACTCTATTTTATGAGCAACAAGCGCATTCCAAGCATATCCCATTGTCCTGGCACAACCAAACGCTTAGCAAGCTATAAGAGGAAGCTGCATACCAAATTTGGTGGTCCTAGCTCTTACTGTTTAGAAGTTCTTGAACATACAGACGGACAGAAACTCAAATATATAATAGATTAATAGATTAAGAACTGTTTGATACTTACTCACACAGCACCACATATTTTTCAAGGGACACAATCAATAATTTGCTATCACCATGATGGAAATGAAGAGCTGGGAGGATGACATCATCCTTCAGACAGAATACCAAATAAGACCATCCCATGCCTTCTTTATTTTGTTTGATTGATTTCAGATCTGTCAAACTGAACTGGAATGACCACTTGCTTTCGCCATTTGTATGAGTTGTAGCATCTTTAAAGACAAAATTGTGACAGTTATGATTTGGTTTCCACTATTAGCATCTATATACCTCATATCAATACTACCAATGTTCCAGAAACATAACAGTACCTCTGGGAACAGAGTGTACACTGTAACATTCTTTAGTTCCCACTCTACCTGTCCTCATCCCAGTCTTTTAAACAGTTAATACAGCTGTCAGACTTCATTCTACTGCTATATACTACAACATTTATCTAGCACCTGTAGATTCACTGAATGAATGAAATCCCAGCTACAAGTAACATATCCCATGACACCCCTCAGCCCAGTCAGAAATAAAAGGTATTCACTTGTAAATTAACTGAATTCTTTGAGATGTGGTGTCCATATGTGTATTTCACTCTAGGTATGCATTACAGAGCCTAGCGAAGTACCTCCTCTGGGCCACCCACTAAGACTGTTGTGAGGAAAATCCAAGCCTCTCTTGCCTAGGATTACCATCGTGTTTCAAGCTCCTGTAAAGTGGATACAGCATTGGTCCTCTCTTGACCCCTCTACCACATTTCCTGCTAGCTACTCCTTTTCCTCCAGGACGTTGGCCACCCTCTTGTAAAGTTCTTGGAATGACTTAAAATCATCTCATGCTGTGGGAGGAGGGGACATCATTGTGTTATCAGGGAAGATGATGAGATGTGCATTGGTGGGTATGACGAGACAGAAGACTCTTCATCACTTGAGGCTGACTCATCTTCTTCCAGGTAAGTTGACTATGTCCAGGGAGGGTAAAGAGGTGGCCCTCGATGGTGTAGATGGAGTTGACTGAGGCTGTACCTGTTGCACTTCCTGGGCTCTGTAAGGGGCCCAGGGGTCCCAGTACAGCTAGTTGGCTGACAGTGGTACTGAAAGGGGCAGCCATTAAGTTCGCTACCATTGCAGAGGAGCTTGTTGCTGCTGCTGCTGCTAGGGCTGCATTGGGGAGGAATGCCTTGGTATATGAGTATTAACCAAGGTCTCCCTGTCTTCATCGCTTGAGAGTGGCAGTGCTGAGCCTGTAGGAGAGGAGAGAGTAAACCTGCTAGATGTGGGAGTACCGTTGGTGCCAAATAGTGGGGTCACTGGCATGGATATTACTCTGAGCTTCTCTACCATTGTGAAAAGCTGTGGCACCGAGGCCACTGGTGCTGAAAGCAATATGGAGAGCATTACGGCCACCATGATGCTGATCGTGCTGGATGTGGGGTCACTGATGCCAGGTGCTTGTGCCTCGTTGGTGCTAGAAGCAGCATAGGTGCCAATAATGCCAAATGAGACCTAGGTTTCTTCAGTGCCAGCAGACTTAGCCCTTGCTTTCGTCGGTGCAAAGGCAGAGGCACACAGTGCAGCAGCACCAATTTTGACTTGGGCTTGTCTGGTGCCTTAGCACCTGCCTTACTGAGGTCTTTGGACTCTCAGGAATCTATGTCAGACAGCCCCAGTACCTCCCTGTCTGGTGCCCTAGTCAAGGTCAGTGCAGGGGTTATTTTGGGGGTTTGCTCCTATTTTTTGGAAGGAGAGTTACACCTTTACTTGAAGAATGGGATCTCTTTCTAGGCTGGTCAGAGGAAGAGTCCGTGACACCAGAGACTGAGGGAGCAGCCTTCTCAGACACGGCCAATGGAGCGGGCTGTCAAGGTGAAGTGGAGTGCTCCGGATCCGAGGCTGGTCTCATGGTGTTCTCAAGGGAGTGAAGCTTCATTTGAAGCTCCCTGCCTTTATGCACATGGGTTGTTAACTGCTTGCAGTGCTGGCACTGGGAAGTGGCATGTGCCTGCCTGAGGCACCAAGCACACTGTAAGTGCCCATCAGAGACAGGGATTAAGAGCCTGCAGGACAGATAGTGTTTGAAGCCTGCAGAGCCTGGCATCCCATTAAGGAAATGTTATCAAGGCAAAACAGCCCTGACAGCAAATAAATTTTGTTTTAAACAATAACTGTTTTAACTATTAAACTGAAAAACTATACTACACTATCACTAACTACCCTAACAATAACAATGAACTATGAAGTTCTGAAAAAGGCTGGAGAGCAACCGAGGTTCCGACGGACGCTGGCGGCTTTTTGAAGGGATAAGTTTCCAATAAACAAAAGACAATCCTGAGTATAACTAGGAGGAAATATTACCTTGCAAGAAGAGCAATATTTGAAGTAGGGTGTTTCAGGGTGAGGCATTATCACCCAAAAAGACAAAATAAAAACAACCCTAAATTGGGAGGGAACGTGAATGAAAGCTTCTGAAAAATTACTGAAACCTAACCAAAATATTATAAAACAGCTATAAAATGATAATTGTCAAAAAGGAATCACTAACCTAACATTAAGCAACCACTATGTGCAGCAATAAAGTAATAAGAGCTAACACTATAGGTGTACAGGACACTGAGCATTCCATTGCAGCCATGGACAGAGAGAAGGAATTGGAGTGGTGGTTGGTCCTACAGTCCTTTATACGTGTGGTTTAAGGGGTACTTAAGGTGCAGGAGCAGACTCAACGGTCTCTACTAACTAAATATCTCTAATATTAAGCACAGACAGCTCATGTGCACCTGGAATGGAATACAAATATAGACATGCACTCTAAGAACCACCATCATTGATGTGTTGCCACATGAACATAAAGGGTCCCTGTCACCAACTCCTAGTGTGGTCTTTTGTAGAGTCTCTGCTGCCCTGACTGGCACTCCTTAGTTTGCCCCAGGCACAACAGTTTTTAGACACACTAGAAATTGTTTCAGTCTTTTGGCCGCGTTCTTGGAGGCAGCCTGATGCAAGGATGTTACCCATTAGCTATTCCAGGGCTTTTTAACCTTTCTTTCCTTCTCTGTACTCTCCCCTTTATAGCAGGCTTTGTTTCCTCTACTGGGTGAAGTTGTTGGAGCCAGCGTCCATGATTGGCAGTTTGGGCAGCTGTGTGGTTGCTGTCTAGCTGTTTACCTGAAAACAGGAGAGGCTCAATACGGGGTTTGTAGGCCCCATTCACTCCTCAAGTTATAGAATCCAGTCCTAACACAGAGCAAGACAATGAATATAAAAAGATGGAGGGGGATTGCAGAGGGAGAACAAAAGTAACTAGTAGAGATCCCACAATTACAAGCAAAATAATGAGAAACATAAGAACTGGGCATGTTCTAATTATAAAAACTTGATGGTCTAGATCAGGAGTGGCCAATAATTTTTGACTGGGGGCCACTTCAGAAACTGTTCAAGTGGCTCTGGGCCATCCCAGAAGGGTCAGGGCCTCAGGCAGAGGGAGCAGGGCCAGGACACTTCTGTTCTTCCCTGCCCAAAGACCCTGATTGGTCTGGGGATGGGGGAGCATGTGAAGTCTTTGCCCACGCCCCCTTCCCCAGAGAGAACAGCCAGCTGTTCTGAACAGGTGGCAGCTCTCTGTAGACACCTGCACCCCTGGTGAGGGGAGGAGACTTTGCACGCTCCTCCCCTTCCTCCCCCCCCACCTGTCCCCACGTCTATCAGGGCCTTGGGGCGAGGGGAGCACACTAAGTCTGCCCTCACCCTGCCAGGGAGCGCTGCTTACCATCACCCATCAGCTGAGCAACAGCTGGCAGTTGACTTTCAGTGTCAAGCCCCTTGCCGGGCAGGAGGAGACTTGGCATGCTTCCCCCACCCCCAGGCTAATCAGGGCTTGCAGACGAGGGAAGTGTGCAAAGTCTCCTCCTGCCCTGCCCGACCTGCAAGGAGTGTGCTTCTAAGCATCACACGCTCGTTGCAGGGAAAGGGCAGGCCAGGAGGAAACTTTGCGTGCTCCCCCGTCCCTAGGCCTTGATTGGCCTGGATGCAGGATGTCTGCAGGCTGGACCAATCCACTTGGCGGGACAAACCTGGCCCGCAGAGGCCCTTTTCCCACCTGGGATCTAGATATAAAAAAACAGATGGTTCCAAATTATTTATTTTCTTATTTTACCAAATAAGAAATGACCAGTATTTGGGAAGAGGAAGAAATGCCATCTGACCTCCGTGATGCCGTGATAGTTGCTCTGTACAAGAATACGGGTGCAAGAGCCGATTGCGGGAACTCGCTGCTTTCCGTTGCCAGGAAAATTTTTGCCCGCATCATCCTGATCAGACTGATTTCGACAGTTTCAAAAGGGAGTCTCCCTGAGTCACAATGTGGTTTCCGCGCGATCGCAGTACTGTCGATATGATCTTCGTAATGAGACAGGTGGAAGAGAAGTGCCTTGAGCAGAATATGAAACTCTACTCTGTCTTCATTGATCTGATGAAGGGATTCAACACGGTTAACAGAGATGCATTGTGGATCATCCTCAGGAACTGGGTTGCCCAACAAAGTTCATCTCACTCATCAAGCTGTTTCACGACAACATGACAAGAGAGGTACTCTCAGATGGTGCGCCATCTGAGAAATTCAACATCTCCAATGGCGTGAAACAGAGCTGCGTATTTGCCCCGGTGCTTTTTAACCTGTTCTTCGCTCAAGTCCTCATGCATGCTGTCAGAGACTTAGATCTTGGTATTTACATCAGATACTGTTTGGATGGTTCAATGTTTGATTTGAGACGCCTTACTGCAAAGACCAAGACACTGGAGAGGCTTATCACCAAAGCGCTGTATGTTGACGACTGCGCCCATATGGCACACCAAGAGCACCACCTGCAGACCATCATTGACAGATTCTCTGAAGCATCTAAACTATTCGGTCTCACAATTAGCCTCAGAAAAACAGAAGTCCTCTTCCAGCCTGCACCAAGTAGTACTCCTCCACAGGCATGTATCGCTATTAATGGCATACAACTGAAGGTAGTACCTGGGCAGCACAATATCAAGTGATGGATCCCTTGACAAAGAGATTACAGTGAGGATCCAGAAAGCCAGTCAGGCACTTGGGAGATTGCGTATTAAAATTCTTCAGCACGAAGATATTCGCCTATCAACTAAAATCAAAGTATAGAATGCCGTGGTCCTCACCTCTCTCCTGTATGGCTGTGAAACATGGATCCTGAACTGTAGGCACATCAAGCGGATGGATCAGTTCCACATGTGCTCCCTACGATAAATCATGTGAGTACGCTAGCAGGACTGAATTACTAACCAAGATGTGCTTGACAGAACTAGTTCCACAAGCATCAAAGCCAAGATCCTCCAGATCCAGCTTTGATGGTCTGGCCAAGTTCTCCACATGGACGAAAGCAGGATCCCGAGGCAGCTGTTCTACGGGGAGCTGGTATGTGGTAGTTGCAAACAGGGATGCCTGAGGAAGAGGTATAAGGATAACCTGAAGACCAACTTGCAGTGGACAGGCCTTCAACCACTTGAACTTGCTGCTGCAGACAGGACTAACTGGCGTTCCCTTACGAGAAAAGCAGTGACAAAGTTTGAGGACAACTGTTGCCAATGCCTCGCAGCTGCACGTGAAAAACAACGCAGAGCTATGTTCTCTCCTGTTCTGACAACCGGCGTCCCATGCCCTATTTGTAGCCGCATGTGTGCTTCGACCTTTGGGCTCCGGAGCCACATGAAATGCACAACATGTCTTCCTCGGCTCCCGAGAGGCAACCAACAACAATTTTACCAAAATTGTAGTATTAAGTATGAAACAGAGTACAATTCTCCAAATACGTGTCTTTTTTTTATGTGCATGCTTTCACTGCATAGTAGTATATTAAAACTTCTGCTAGTGTTCCAATAGTGAAGTAGCATCTGCCTAGTACAGCATTAATTTATACCTCAGTAGGGTGAACTTTTAAAATGCTAGCAAGACTAAAGCTTCAATCACATTCTCCCTAAAGTTTTTTTAGAAAGGAAATTAAACTGAACCAGACAGCTTTGTGGGGGCAGAGATCAACTGACCTGAAAAAAACGTGATTCGAGCCACAAGTTACCTCAGCAGTTCAGTGTCTGAGGGAATACATTCTAGAGTATTTTTATAAGTAAGCAGCTCTTTTAAAACTAAAAGTTAAATAGCAAATGAAATATTTGAAGTTTCAGCATTTATTTTCGCATGCACCTCCATTAGAACGTGGCTTCTTTTTAAACGATACTGTGTTGACCATGTCCCATTCTGCTTCATAATTATTCTGGTGGTCAGACCCCCGTGGAGATTTTTCTTTAGGTGTGTGTGTCCATTCTACAACTGAACTGGAATCCTGAACAAAAAAGACGAAAAAACAACAACAAAAGACAAAAACTAAAACTGAATTTTATCAACAGCTAATTTCAAGATTCAAAAAACACAAACACCTTTGATAAATTGGAGGTAAGGCCAAAAGTACAAAGACATGAGTGTTAAAATCCTCAAAAGAACAGTTGTCAAATAAATTTAAAAAAGAAAAGAAATGCCATGTTAAATTTAAACTCAGAAGAAAGCCAAACATTTGAAATTTATATAAAAAGACAGTGAAGATCACCCAAATAATCTTAAATCGTCCCAGATAGAGATGCACTAGCATTAAGTAGAAATTTTAAAACAACCTTACATATTCAAAATTGACAAACCGATCTCATCTCAGTAATGACACACTGTATATACTGTTTATTACTCTAAACTGTAAAACGCTCAAGCTACTTCTGCCCTTTCTTATGACCACAACAAACAGAAAGGGAATGATTTTAACAATTCTAGGTTAAATACATAGTATTTTTAAAACAATCATTCCCAACTCCCCACAAAGATTCCATGTGTCAATGATACTAAGAAAAAGAATTGGCATTTGTTCTAAACCAAGATCATAGTGTTAAGGCAGCAACATGGATTAAAAGTAAAAGTTAAGATGGCAAAGCATTACGCTTTGTATTGGAGACAGCCATATACTAAGGTCAATATAAAATCAAATGCTTCCATAGGTGCTGGAACTAAAGATGCTGTGACAATGGTTGACTTATCATATACAGGGTTTGATTCAATGGCTCTCAGCATACTAGCTATAAAACTAGTTTTAGCACCCCTGAATACTTTGTGATTCTATTTCAGAATTCCACTTTCTTTTGAATACACCTGCAGAATTTTCTCCAAATGTCAAGTGTGGTCCAACCCTTTAAAGCAGGGGTGGGAAACCTTTTTTGGGCTTGGGGGCCACTGACCCACAGAAAAATCAGTAGGGAGCCACACAAACAAAAAACAAAAAAAAAAACCCACACTGAGGTGGTCCTGACAGAGAAGGGAAAAGACACTCCCCACATTCCCCTCACACACCAGAGCGTAGGGGGGCCCTATGGGGTGTGGGCTGAAATATTGTGCCAGGGTGGGCTCCCAAATGCTGGGGGGAGCCCTGAGCATCAGGGGCCAGATCCATGCAAGTCGGGGACCACATCCATCCTCCAAACCTTAGGTTCCCTAGCCCTACTTTCTTTTTTTAAAGTGACCTTGTAAGAAGGGCTGTGGGAGCATAGACCAGATTAACTTTTTTACTCCATAATCTCCAAATGAAATCTGATCACTCTGCAAGTAAACACATTTTTCTATTTGTGTGCTCCACAAATTTACAAAAGGCTGTGAGACAAGTTGATTTATACCTGCCTTGTCTATCAACACAAAAAAGGGGCTCTTCAACCTAATTTAGCCCCTCTGGTAATCCATGCCATACCACTGTCTGCAGATTGTCATCAATGACAATTTGCACAACCTCACTGGTCATTTACTAGATGCTATGCTGACTGTCAAAAGCTGATGTTGAGTTTGCTGGGACAGTGACTTGCAAGTTTGTTTGCTTAATCTGCGCAAATTTTATATGGAAATCCATAAAATATAGTGAATAAGGAATTCTGCAATATCCTGCAGCCAAGTAGACAGGCATCCACCACCACCCTTTTAAAGGAATAGGAAATCTTGAAATTCCACATGCTGTTTGCTAAGCATGGACAATTCATGTGGCATCTTTACTGCTCACCAGTGAACACTCACACACTAAGCAATCTCCCACGTGAAGTATATCAGAGTTGTAGGTTCTACTGCAGAAGCCTCAAATTCACAGCCCACAGGCCATCTATGGCCAGAACATATTCACAATCTGGCCCAGGAGTCCCAGTGGCCTGGGGAGGGCATGTCTGTGCCCATCACCCCCAAATCCTGCCATGGAGAATGGGGGGAGGGGAGAGGTACAGAGACTCAGGTGACCGCTGTTGCCTCCCTGCACCAGCTCCTCCCTCCCCTCCCACCCCGGTAATCCCAAAGACCACGTCTCTTGGAGGATGGAGCATGGGACACAGGCACAGACGGGAGATCAAAGCTCTGTGGGGAGAGCTGCAGCCCCACCTCCTTTCCAGCTGTCAGAACCCTTAGTACATACAGGAAGATTTCTCACGGCATGTGGAAGAAGGGCTTTTAATAGGACACAAATCAGTGCTGTGCAAAGTTCAAGGAGCGGGGCAGGCATATCAGAAGTCAAGAGAGTGAAACCATTGCTCTAGTGCTACAACAAAGAGCTGCTTCTACAATAAGGAGCTGGATACCATCCTCAGCTACAACCCCACCCACATGGCCCATGGATAATTCAGGGGGAGTGGATACACTGACAGGTGGCCTCAACCCCAAAGAAAAAGTAGCAGATGAGGAAGTGGAATTAAGAGGATGAGGTGGCACAGGTGACAGGTTGTCCAGGACCATGATGAGCCAAGACCTTTTATTGACCCTAGAGGGTTCAAGCCAGACCCAGCACTCTGTAGTAGGCATGATGCAGGAGAAGAGAGTTCTCATAAGTTTTCGTTTTGATTTGATACCGCTCTGTACAGGTGTTTTTAAGCAACTACACTAAAGGATCTTTAACATTCTAATCTTTTATGGGGCTTTTATTTCAATAGATTTAGTAGGCAGGGTCCAAAATTGGGCTTAATATAGTGGGGACTTAGAATTACTATAGCTTAGGTAGATATGAGTTTACCATAGGCACACTTAAAAAAAATTCAGAAGTTAACATCTACACACATAGTAAGACTGCACAGATCCTTTAAAGGCCAACAGAGAGATTTCTGCAACATCAAGAAAGGAGGAGACAATTACTTGTCTTAGGCCTAGTTTTTCTTGACTATGAATTAGAGGTCTGATGTTTGATCATGTTACCTACTTCAATTTAAGATCTTCCAAAATTTAACAAAAATAGGCAAGGTTTAATTATTTGTATTATAATAGCTTTATTTTAGTACATTCCAAACTAGTACAGTTAAAGACAAGATCTTTTCTCTTCTAGATTTAAACCATTTTTGTTAGGGTGTTTGAGCTAACATCTTAACACAATATCTTTAAACCTAGTCTAGGCAGATCCACAGAGGTAGCACTTCCCTTTTTCATAATCTGAAGACCAGGTTTCACTGGATCCTAGCGACCTCCACTTGGAGGGCAAAACATAACTGTCTTATAGTTCTGTTTGTACATAATGGGGTCCAAGTACAGGCATCAATCCTAAGCATTGCAGTAACAAAATTAACCACCACTCTGAAGAAGTAAATTTCTATTTTTAGGATCGTCTAGCTAAATTTAGCAGATAAACAATAAACCAAACCTGCAGAAAGGGTGAATGCCAGTAATTAATAAGCATACCTTTCCAGCACAGAGGATATTGGACGAGTCCAAAGTATCATCCGATGGTCTCCAGTCTACTATTACTTCAGCTTCCTATAATCCAATCCATCAAACACAACCTCAGTAAGTTGATAATTACAAAAATGCAATTCTCCCTATTTATGCAAAGAATTATATGCATTTATTTATGTATATGTTATTTTAGGTACAGCGGCCAAACAGGATAGTGTTTTTTAAAACACAAACACTCAGGATTTTTATTTTAAACTTACAATATGTTTGGTATATTAGATGCACTGAAGGTAAACAAAAGAAAAAAAAATCTAATGAGCTGTATCAAATTATTACCTTTTCTATGACACGTAGTACTCCTGATATTAAACTATCCTGGTCATCATTTTTTGCACAGGATGAATGAATGAAAACCCCTTCTTGTTCATATATAACCTGTAAAAAAATGGATCAACATGCTGAGTTTTTATAGCAAACATTTAGACAACCTAAGTAACTAGACAGCTAATACAGAGGGAACTTTACTCACAGTATTATTAAAGGCTATAAAAGTCACATTTACAGCAACTAAATGGCACTATACAATTAACCTATCCAATTAATCTATAATTTTGATTTGCCCTGAAATTCAAAATTAATCCTGATGTATAAACACAAAGTGAGTTGTCACAGACTTATCCTGGACAAAGAAATGATTGTTGCACAAAATGTTTGATTTCAACTTCAGTATAATGAAAGATTAATTTATAGCAGTGGTTTCAAGTGCAAGTCAGCAGACCAGTGCCGGTCTGCAAACTACTGGCTGCCGGGCCACGGTGGCTGCTGGAGCCGAAGCCAGCAGTTTGTGGCGGCTCAGCTACAGTAGCTGGTTTTGCCCAGCGGCAGCATTAAGGTTAATGCGGCGGAGCAGGAGGCAGCAGAGTAGGAGACGACACCTTCTTTCCTCCCCCCTCCCATCCAGGTAAGATGAAGGGTCGGATGGGGATCTGCACTTCCTCTTGCCCCTGCCTCTATGCATCAGGGCACAAGACATGCCTGGGATGGTGGGGTACGAAGGAAGAGAGAACACGTGTGCTACCAATGATCAATCCCCCCTACTGGCATGGCAGTAACAGCCACACTCCTTAGAAAGGGGCAGTCTTGCTCTGGAGTGCAGGGGTGTTGGGTGAGCATGTGGTGGGGTCACAGGGCAAGAGGGTATGGGCATAGGCTGTAGGGGCCAGAGGTTAAAGGGTCAAATGACATGGGGCATAGGGGCAGGGGTCAAAGTAGTTAGGCACTGGAGAGCCAGGGGTTGGGTTGGGACTGGGCAAACAGGTAACATTTTACCTGTAAAAATGTTACCAATCCACAAAAAGTTTGTGAATGGGTTTGCTGGTCCACAGTATAAAAAAAGTTGTGCAACCACTAATTTATAAGATCAATGAAACACTGTAGTACAAAGTTACTTGGGGGAATTTTAGACAATTAAAATTAATTTGAATTGTGATCTCTGCTTGTATCTGGGGCGGTCATGTGATTAAAATGATTTGTGTCAACAGATTACCATTTTACTTCATTATTTTTGGATGTTTTCTACATTTTCAAATATATCAATTTCAATTACAACATAAAATATAAAGTGTACAGTATTCAACATATTTTTTTATATGTATATTTTTCGTTACAAATATTTGCATTGTAAAAAACAAAGGAAATATTTTTCAATTAAACTAATAACTACTGTGGTACAATCACTACATAAAAGTTGAAGGAAAATGCAGGACAATGTAGCACTTTAAAGACTAACAAGATGGTTTATTAGATGATGAGCTTTCGTGGGCCAGACCCACTTACGAAAGCTCATCATCTAATAAACCATCTTGTTAGTCTTTAAAGTGCTACATTGTCCTGCATTTTGCTTCAGCTACCCCAGACTAACACAGCTACATTTCTATCACTACATAAAAGTTGAACTTACAAATGTAGAATTATATAAAAAACTGCATGAATAAAACTGTAAAAGTTCAGATCCTTCATATCCACTCAATCCTTTTCTTTCTTCAGCCAATCACTCAAACAAGTGTCTTTACATTTAGCAGGAGATAATGTGACCCATTTCTTGCTCACAATCTCACTGGAAAATGAAAACAGGCATTCACGTGGCACTGTTGTAGCTGGAATCTCAGGCTGTGTCTAGACCGGCCAGTTTTTCCGGAAAATCAGCCACTTTTCCGGAAAAACTTACCAGCTGTCTACACTGGCCGCTTGAATTTCCGCAAAAGCACTGACTTCCTACTGTAAGAAATCAGTGCTTTCTGCGGAAATACTATGCTGCTCCCGTTCGGGGAAAAGTCCCTTTTGCGCAAAACTTCTGCTACTTAAGTCCCAGGCGAATACCTGTTCTCACTTTCTGGTAACATTGTAATAAGTGAGAAAAATTATTTGCCATAAATGTAAACAAATGTGTATGTTTTAGCAATTAGCTGAAGAAAAAGTAGGACTGAGCGGATCTATAGGTTCTTTGTAAGTTTTACATTGCATTCAAAAACAACAGTCATTTAACAAAAACAAAAATCAACATTTGTAAGTTGCACTTGTGATAGAGAACTTATATGAAGTGAATTGAAAAACACTTGTTTATCATTTTACAGTGCAAATATAAAGAGAACAGTGTAAAGTTTTTATTCTGTATTGTAACTGAAATCAGTATTATTTAAAAATGTGAGTTAACTCTAATCAACTACCCTATTATTTTACTCTATAAACGGAATTGAAGTGCATCAGAAGTTGAAGATTTGTTATGTAAACTGTTTCTGCTGAATGAGACAATATTTTCCCATATATTAAAAAAAATGTATCTGTAAAATAATCTAAACACAGTGTTCTCCTCTACCAAGATTCAACATGATCTCCTGTCCTGTTTGATATAAATAACCTTAATCAAAGGAAATGAAAACCAGGGTTTGTGTGAATCTGAATAAACTCACTATTAGGCTGGGGAATAGGGGAATCTAGTGGGAAAAAACTTCAAACACTCAATATCAAGGTTTTGAGAAAGAAACATAAAACATGTAATTCACTTTGTAGGCATATTTGTTCTTGAAATATAAAATTGCATGAATTGATCAAAATGGATAAATGTACACTTCTGGAAATAAAATCTAACAGCTGTCTCTACTAACTACTCAGATTTTTTAATCTGTGTTAAAAACCAATACCCTTTCACAAACTTATTTGTTTTTTTAGACCATTTAAACCATTATATTTTCAAACACAGTAATCCAAATTTGGCAAACACATGTTACGTGGATGCTGCACTGGCTGGACAGAGTACAGGGCTGAAAAAAAAAAGGCAAAGCTGAATTTAACTCTGCAGTCTTCCATAAATGTATTATAATTTTTTATGTAACCAACAATCTTATTCACAAACATAAAATTGAATCATTTATTTTAAATGCTAGAGACAAGAAATGAGTGGGGTTGCATACCACCAGTTTTGGACAATCTAGTACAGCAAAAACAAAAAATTATTTGAAATATCCCTATGTTCAAATGTTACTGATCTGGTCAAGCTCTCCTTGCTGGGCACTCACCAGACTTCTGTGAGGGGATCCAAATACTGAATCCCACATGCTCATGGCTTAATGGGACTTAACAGAGTACAGGCACTGTCCCTGACTACAGTCTCACAGACATGTCTTTCAGATGCAGACCTTATTTCTAACAGAACTCTTAGCAATGGGAACCCAGTAGTCCAAATGCCTAGACAACAAAACTATGCCTTCTGCCACAAGCCTCTCCAGTTGCTCTTGCACATTCCCCAGAATTCCAACAAGGTGTGAACCTTCCGTAGGGTTTAGCATTTGACTAGCCCAAAAATTACTGGCATATCGACAGATCAAATATTGTCAAAAATTGTCTAATATAATAAAGCACTAATTTATTAGACAGTAAACAAAAAGAATGAGTTCATAGTCTCCAAAACTCTTACCCTTAGATATTTATGCCTAATAAAAAACTGTTATTTCCATTCTATTCATCTGATGAAGTGGGTTTTACTCATGAAAGCTCATGATTCTATATATTTTTGTTAGTCTCTAAGATGACATAGGACTACTCATTGTACAAAAAACAAGTTACTTAAGAGATGTTTGTGACAGGGTGAGGTCACAGACGACCCCGGGGGAAGGGGGCCTTCCTGGAGTGCTGACAAAGCCACGGACACTCGCCTTCCTGTTTTCTGGGGCTTCTCACTGCCCTGTCCTGTTGAGTCAGCTCCCTAGTCTCCCGCAGCCAAAGCACAGAGCTGAAATCACTGCTCCCCGCCACAAGGAGTAGTACAGACACTGAAATGCTTCAGATCCAAGGAAAATGCAGTTTTAGGCCCAGCTTCCTGGGATACTACTCCCCAAATGGGATCAGAACCCCATTTGGGTAAGCCCCCTTTTACAATGGAAGGAGGATGTATACACTGATTGCTCCCCCAGGTAACAATTATTTTCACTTGGCTTGATGATAATAAGAGATTTTATTAAGTACAAGTGGTAGGATATAAGTGGTTGTAAGTGATAAAAGGAAGAGCAAAGTAGATTACAAATTTAAAAACAACAAAAAATGCTTAGCTAATCTAACACTAAAACCTCAGTACAAACTTATTACAAACTCACCCTGAAACTGTTCTTATTCCTGCTAAACCTTCAGAACCAGGGCAGTCTCATTTTCCCTGGGATCTCTGGCTCACTTTCTTAGGAATGGCATGCCACACAAAGATCAAGACCCTGCTAAGCTTCCCATTGTTTTACAGATTCTCATTTTTACTTGGCAAGTCCCTACCAGTTAGAGAGATCACATAGCTTCCTAGGACCAACCATTGCTATGACTTAAAGGACAAAAGGGGCTGCTTACATATGATTGCCCAGACACTGAGGCATCCCAGCATTGGAAACACACTTGATGGCTTTCATTTGCACATTTAAAAACCATTTCATACGCCATATATCTAACTTTACACACAAGAATGATACATACACCAAAATACGATATACAGATCCAGTGGATTAAGACATTCAGATTGATAGATAACATGAGGCAATTTGTCCCAAGCATCTCTGAGTTATGCATATTTGTGTCCATAAATCCATTTCATGAAGCATGAGGGTGTGACAATGTTAACATCACAATGTTAACTCAGAAAAATGCAGCACACAGTGAAATGAAGTTCTTAAATATGAGTTTTACTACTTTAAGCAGTGTTATGCTAGTATTTAAATGTGAACATTATTCAATACTGAACAGATGCAAAAGAAAAGAAAATTAAATTAAATAAATATACAGCAACTATAAAAGGTCATTTTTACACTCTAGTGGGAGGCAGGGTCGTCCAAAGGAGGGGGCAGAGCAATTATAAAAGAAACAGGTACATTTTATGCACTGATGGTACGCAGGGCCATCCTGAGGAGGGCATAGGGCCTGGTGCAACCTAGAGATGTTAAATATCAATTAACTGAATAGTTTATTAACCTCATGAATTCTTATCCGTTAGTCAACTATTCTATAGTCCCTGGGGGCAGGACCAGCAGCCAGTGCGCTCAGGTCCCACTCCCAAGGAGCCCCCAGCCACTCCGCGCTACTGCCTCTGTACCAAAAACAGTAGTATGGGATGCCAGGAGGGAGCTGGTCCATGAGGGGAGCCGTTTTTAAAACCAAGGTATTTAAATAGACTTTCATACAGATGGCACCCTAACACGATCAAAAAGATAAACTATCACCTATATCAGGTCATTCTTGTTGGAATATATCTGACAGTGGACAAAACATAGGCAGCCAGTTGACTAGCTAACAAACCTAGCTTACTGGCTTACAGTTTACCTAGTCAGTGGCACCTGATCGTGAAAACCACTCTTTACTTACATAGCATGAGAAGTACATAGAGCTATACAAAATAATCAACACACCTACATTTCCCTGACTCAGGTTACTCACCACGCTTATGAGTTATTTGGGCTTGGGTAAAATCCTCTGAAGCGTCTGGAATCCTTCTGAAACTCAGCTTCTCTTCAAAATCACGGAGACTTTCTAGCTCAGCTAGCCTTCTCTGACTCAGTCTGTCCCACCATTAAACAGGACTCTGCTTCTATGAAACATACCTGCCTCTTCATCTCTCCTGACCAAAGCTTTGTGTCAATCTCAAGACTGTATGTCCTCTTCCAATCCCTGGGTTCTTTGTTCTTCTTCTGGGAATGTTCCACTCCTCCCTCCCTGCAAAGAAGCTGGTGTAACTAACTTCTTTGTTAACTTCCATACCATATACCCATTATCCCAACGTTCTTCCACCAGAACAGGAGACCATACAGGTCTAATTGTTCTCCATTATATCCAGGCTTGTGCTACAGTGGCTTTCTGAAAATCGTGGATTTTGCATCCATATAGAGGCATTCCAGGACACAAGAGTTCGTAATATCAACCAATATTCATAAATCAAACTTTCTCAGTGAAGAATTCAAAGGCAGTGATGTTAGATAGAGGGTAATAGAAGAGTCGACTAACTGCAAGAATTCGTAGTGGTTAGTTGACTATTCTATAGTCTCCAAGGTCAGCAGCCAGTGTGCTCCAGCCTCTCTCCCAGGAAGTCCCCTGGCACTCTGTGCCACTGCCTCTATATTAGAGGCAGCAGCGTGGGGGGGCCAGCAGGAGCCGGTCCGCCAGAGGAGCCAGTTTCAAAACCAACTCCTCTCACGGACCAGCTACCTGATACAGAAGCAGCAGTGCAGGATGGCAGATGCCCCTGTCCACGGGGGATCCGAGCTCCTTGTGGTCAAAGGCTGCTGGTGAGAGAGGGGCTGCTGCCAAAGCAGCCTCTGTCCATGGCCAGCTGGGACCCCACACAGACAGGGACTGCTACTGGGGACCAGCCTCTGTCTGCAGGGAGCTGGGACTGCCCCCGTGGACAAGGGCTGCTGCTGCAAAGCAACCTCTGCTCAAGGCGGGCCAGGCCCCACCATAGGCAGAAGCTGCTTCATGGCAGTCTCCCATGTGTCCCGGAAGCAGCACAGGGAGCGGGGGAGTTCAGCACCACAGAGTCCATGCTGGGGGAAACTGATTTTTAAGCCAGCTCTCCTCAGCTCTGGCTCCTGCTTCCCCCTGCTTGCCGCCTATGATACAAAGGCAGTGGCAGGGGAGGAGGGGGAATGCAAGTAGTCAACTAGACTAACCTTTAAGTCTATGCTTATCATTTAATCATCTGGTTGTCTATTCGTTCACATCCCTATTCAAATAAGTGCTATTCTCTCTTGAAACCAGTGTTTTAATCATTTTTCCAACTACAGAAGTCTTGAATATTTTAAGATAGGGGGGGAAAAAGCCCAATTCCTAGATTAAATTATTTTACCATTATTTTCTTGCTACCCCTCTGCTCCTTCCACAGATAGCAGCCTCCCTTTCCAAAGGACAGATTAAGTGCTACTATCCATGGAAATCCAATTACCAAGTAATTCAAGATAATGATATTGATCTACACACCTCCTCAGGGTTTGTGACTTAAGAAATCACCTCTTTGCTAATGCTGCAATGCAGTAGTTGAGGAACTTAAGCTAAGTGTCCAGACTTTTAAAATCTGGTTTGGTAGGACATTCTCTTTCATATCAATCCGTAGCCCAAGGTATGAGAAGTGATGGGAAGAACATTCTTGTGGTGAGAAGAACACTTCAGCAGTCCAATACTGTGGCATTTAATTTCAAGAAGGGGAACTACGCAAAAATGAGGAGGTTAGTTAAACAGAAATTAAAAGATACAGTGACTAAAGTAAAATCCCTGCAAGCTGCATGGACACTTTTCAAAGACACCATAATAGAGGGCCTACTTAAATGTACACCCCAAATTAAACATAGTAGAAGAACTAAAAAAAAAGCCACCGTGGCTTAACAACCATGTAAAAGAAGCAATGAGAGATAAAAAGACATCTTTTAAAAAGTGGAAGTCAAATCCTAGTGAGGTAAAAGAGAAAGGAGCATAAACACTGCCAAATTAAGTGTAAAAATGTAATAAGAAAAGCCAAAAGGAGTTTGAAGAACAGCTAGCCAAAAACTCAAAAGGTAATAACAAAATGTTTAAGTACATCAAAAGCAGGAAGCTTGCTAAACAACCAGTGGGACCCCCTGATGATCGAGATACAAAAGGTGCACTTAAAAGACGATAAAGTCATTGCAAAGAAACTAAATGAATTCTAACGAGGATGTTAGGGAGATTCCCAACCTGATCCGTCCTTTCTAGGTGACAAATCTGAGGACTTGTCACAAATTGAAGTGTCATTAGAGGAGGTTTTAGAATTAATTGATAAACTTAACTGTAACAAGTCACTGGGACCAAAGAGCATTCACCCAAGAGTTCAGAAAGAACTCAAATGTGAAATTGCAGAACTATTAACTATGGTTTGTAACTTATCCTTTAAATCAGCTTCTGTACCCAAAGACTGGAAGATAGCTAATGTAATGCCAATATTTAAAAAGGGCTCTAGATGCGATCCCGGCAATTACAGACCAGTAAGTCTAATGTCAGTACTGGACAAATTAGTTGAAACAACAGTAAAGAATAAAATTGTCAGACACATAGAAGAACATAATTTGTTGGGAAAAAGTCAACATGGTTTCTGTAATGGGAAATCATGTCTTACTAATCTATTAGAGTTCTTTGAAGGGGTCCACATGTTTGTTGACAAGGAGGATCCAGTAGATATAGTGTACTTAGATTTCCAGAAAGTATTTGACAAGGTCCCTCACCAAAGGCTCTTACGTAAATTAAGTTGTCATGGGATAAGAGGGAAGATCCTTTCATGGAGTGAACTGGTTAAAAGACAGGAAACAAAGGGTAGGAATAAATGGTAAATTTTCAGAATGAAGAGGGGTAACTAGTGGTGTTCCCCAAGGGTCAGTCCTAGGACTAATCCTATTCAACATATTCATAAGTGATCTGGAGAAAGGGGTAAACAGTGAGGTGGCAAAGTTTGCAAACGATACTAAACTGCTCAAGGTAGTTAAGACCAAAGCAGACTGTGAAGAACTTCAAAAAGATCTCACAAAACTAAGTGACGAGGCAACAAAATGGCAAATGAAATTTAATGTGGATAAATGTAAAGTAATGCATATTAGAAAAAATAACCCCAACTATACATATAATATGATGGGGGCTAATTTAGCTACAACTAATCAGGAAAGAGATCTTGGAGTCATTGTGGATAGTTCTCTGAAGACGTCCATGCAGTGTGCAACAGCAGTCAAAAAAGAAAACAGGATGTTAGGAATCATTAAAAAAGGGATAGAGAATAAGATGGAGAATATCTTATTGCCCTTATATAAATCCATGGTACGTGCACACCTGGAATACTGCATATAGCTGTGGCCTCCTCATCTAAAAATATATATATACTGGCATGAGAAAAGGTTCAGAGAAGAGCAACTAAAATGATTAGGGGTTTGGAACCGGTCCCATATGAGGAGAGATTAAAGAGACTGGGACTTTTCAGCTTGGAAAAGAGGAGACTAAGGGAGGATATGATAGAGGTATATAAAATCATGAGTGGTGTGGAGAAAGTGAATAAGGAAAAGTTATTTACTTGTTCCCATAATATAAGAACTAGGGGCCACCAAATGAAACTAATGGTTTAAAACAAATAAAAGGGAATTCTTTTTCACACAGCGCATAGTCAATCTGTGGAACTCCTTGCGGACTTCAACAGGATTCAAAAAGAACTAGATAAATTCATGGAGGTTAGGTCCATCAATGGCTATTAGCCAGGGTGGGTAGGGAGGATGCCTCTAGCCTCTGTTTGTCAGAGGGTGGAGATGGATGGCAGGAGAGAGATCGCTTGATCATTACCTGTTCGATTCACTCCCTCTGGGGCACCTAGCATTGCCCACTGTCAGTAGACAGGGTACTGGGTTGGATGGACCTTTGATCTGACCCAATATGGCCATTATTATGTTCTTAGTCCATCTGCTTAGAGAAAGCTTTGCAGACAGGCAATCAGGATGATCTAGTTGTGGAAACTGTCCTATAGTCAGATTTATTATGATCAATCAACTCTTTCACAAGACTAATTTTAACACATATAACATGGGATGTTGGGTAGAAAGCACTTATTTTTGAATTCATAAAATGTTGAGACATTTAAAATCATAAATACATAGAGAGACTGAGGATGTGTTAATGTGGATAAAGATTTGTGAAAAAAATTAATCTCAGAACAGAATTCCTAACTAGGGATGTTAGCATATAGTCATTTAAACAATTAACTGATAAGCCTGGGCTCACTGGTTAATCCAAATGACTACACACGACACACCCTTGCTGCCTGCTGAATCAGAGGCAGCAAGGTGGGGGAGGTAGGAGCCAGTGTCTGTGGGGATAAAAGTCGGCTTAACCTTCCCTTCTTTCCCTCCCCCTGCTGCTTCCCACAAAAGGGGAGGGAAGTTGTGCTCAGGGGGGAGCTAAGTACCAGATTCCACGGAGCTGCCTGCCCTACCACACCCACGCTGTTGCCTCTGTTCCTCAGTTTAGTAAGAAAAAAAAAAAGCAGAAGCTCTAGAACAGAGCAAGCCATGTAACACTGGCACTCAGTCAATCAAAATCTTCAGTCAATAATATTTAGTTTAATGACATTTTTTAGTTTCAAAAGCAACTCTCTCATGGATGAGCTAAACTAGAAATAGCAATATATATTTGTTTAAACTATTTTATTTTTACATTATTATTTCTGTTGCACAATTTAATATTCTTAGATTTTTTTTTTACCAAATAAAATGTAAGTGACTTCATCTTTATGTCAAAGAAAGACTTATGAGAACAAAATTAACCAAGGAATCAAACAAGACAGATAAGAAATTCTTAAATTGCTATATACTAATGCAGTGGTTCTCAGTGGTCTAATCAGCACAGAGTTGCAGCCCATGTGACATCCTGAGGGACATACAGGTAGTACTGGATGTGGCCCACAACAACAAATAGATTGAAAACCACTGCACTAGTTGTAACAAAGGAATTCAAATTGTTCAATTATGAGCATAAATTGATCTAGCTGGTATTATTAAAACTTGATGGAACGATCCCCATGATTGGAATGTTAATAACCGATGGTTATAATCTATTTAATAGGAAGGATAAAGAGGGCAAAAGAGGAAGAAAGGGGCACTAGCAAAAATAACATTACAGTAGAACTTCAGAGTTACGAACATCAGAGTTACAAACTGATCAACCACTCGCTGCAT